ACAATTTACCAAAGAGGAAATAAAATTAGACAATATAAGTTGAAAAAAATTTTAACCACATTACTGTTCAGAGAAATGAGAGTAAAAGATACTATTTTCTACCTACTCAAGAAGTATAGTTTTAAAACTGTGAATATCCAATGCTGGTGAGAGGCAATGAAAACACATACTCAGATAAGAGGTCTCTGTGACACAACCTCCTGGATGTGAGCTGAAATTCTTTGAGGAATTTTTCCTGAGGAAATCATCCAAAATACCAAGGCTTACTTTGGTAGCAGTGTTATTGATAACAGAAAAATCATCTTTTATCAAAGTATGTCTTGAAGGATGGTTGTATAATTAATCATCATCATTGTTAATTCATCATTCACCTTGAGCCAGGGAATGCTATCTACTAAGTTCCTTGACAACCCTTTGGTGTTAAGTCCATTATCATCTGCATTTTACAGAACCTCAGAATACATTGCTCTAGTCACATCCCACCCCTGTGAATGGTGGAGGTAGATTCCATTTTACCTCCATCCAACCCCTGAGGCCATCTTCCAGGCAATTAGAAACAATAGTAATTATGAGGGTGTTTTGTGTTGTTTTGTTTTGTTTAAGTAGGCTCCGTGCCCAGTGTGGAGCCCAATGAGGGGCTCAAACCCACCACCCTGAGATCTAAACCTGAGCTGAGATCAAGAGTTGAAGGCTCAAATTACTGAGTCGCCCAGGTGCCCCCATGAGAGTGTTTTTAACAAGTGTAGACATGTTTATAATATGATGCTAAATGAAAAAAGAGAATCTAGAATCACTTTATGATTTTAAGTGGAAAGAATCTAAAATTGTTACAAAGTGCAGCATGCAAAGAAGGAAATAATCAGAGAAGGAAGGGGTTTGGAGAGAGAAGGTGGACAGAGAGGCCATGGAACCAGGGCAGATATGAGGGGTGAGGAGTGGGAGTGGGGTGGAGGGCCACTTTTTGCCCCTGAGGACACTATTGCCATTGGCTGACCTCCTCCAGATTCCCAAAGGGGTCCTGGATTATGCAGAGACTACCATCTGTTATAGTCCTTGAAGGTATGAGGGACCTACAAGACCCTAGGTCTCTGTCGACCAGAGCTCCATGCCCCTCACTCCTCTACCCACTGGAGAAGTTTAAGGCACAATGTCTTCCAATTTGGACAAACAGCCAGTGGCACCTGCTCTGAGGATTGAAGTCAGATGAGCTGCAAAGGTCAAGGGAGTCAGAGAGAACATCTCAGGACCCTATAGTGTGCTCAGGAATGGCAGCAGAGGGCCAGGGATGGGTGATGGCCTCCCCTCCAAACTTGCAGCCTCCATTGTGGAGGGCTTTGTTACCAATGCGGAAACTAAGGCAAGGAGAGATCAATTCACTAGTCTGAATTGTGAATTCACTGGCTCTTTGTCAAAAGGTGTTTTGCACATCATTGCAAGCCCCTGTTCCCCTTCTAGGCCCCCAGAGCAGGGCCAAGTGATCTGAGGATTCATGCTGCCTCTGGGCAGCTACCAAGAAAGGGCACCGGTGGGGGAGGTGTGTGATCAGAGACTCCACAAACTTCTGCTCCACTGGAGGAAAACATCCTTAACTGTTTTGAAGCCAAAAGATAGAAGGAACGTTGTTTTTCACTTCCTCTGAATTGAAATTGGCTACTAGGAGCTTCCCTAACCCCAATACCCAGGAATCTGGCGCCTAAATTTAGATTGTCCTTGGAAGGTCACTGGATCACCCTGGCACAGGGTCAGTCGGCAGCTGCTCAAGATAAACTTGGCTTTTCTGCTGATTCAGGCCTTTCCCTCACACAATTAATGAGATCCTGCCGCTCTTCCCCTGGGAAAGCAGAACAATAGCGGCAGATGAGCAGGTGGCCTTGGCTGGCATGCTGGCCTGGGAGCCCCTCTCCAGAGATCAAGGAGTCATGACCCTGCCTAGCCCTAGACCCCTCTGACCTCACCGGCAGGCCCTTGCCCACTGTCTTGTCCTTGTCTCATGGAGCTTCATGGGCACCCCAGTCACGGTGCCCCTTCCCACCTCTGCACTCTCGAATGGAACTTCTTTCCTAGATCTTGGCTGAACTCTTATCTCCTTAGAGAGGACTCTATCCCTCTGCATGACACTGCCATCTCTCTAGCCCATGGCCATAGACACACCTGAAAGGGCCCTACCCAATTACAGGTTGAGGGCAGGAGCTTGCTGGGTGTGTCCTCCACCCAGAGACAGAGCTCAGTGCGAAGCAGGTGGTCAGGAGACCACCATGAGTAGGAGGGAGGGCAGGCACATCTCATGCCCCTCCTAGGTCCGGGCTGGGCCTCTCTGAGTGGACTCTGGTTCCATGGCAGCCCTGAGCCACAACCAAAACAGTTGTGTTGGGACAGAAATCTGATGGGGATAAGTGGAAACTGAGGCCTTTCCATCAAGTCCCCAAAATACTGTGAAGCTGTCTGCAAAGAGATGGAGGCTCACTGGGGCCACCCTGGGGTGCCAGGCTGGGGGTGAGCCCTGGGATAGGCCCAAGGTGGTGGAGAGGGAGGAGCAGGTAGGCAGGCAAAGGGGGAGATCCTCGTGCTGGCTGCAGCTCCAAGCTGGCTAGAAGGGGTGGCATGGCCAGAGGTCGGCCGTGAATCACAGGAAGCCCCTCGCCAGAGAGAGATGCATAAAGAGGGCTCTTGCGAGGAAGCTCAATCCTGGGTGGTGATGGGGAAATCCAGTAAGTGGACGGACACTTCCAACTTGGGCCTCAGGGAGCAAGGCTAGGAGACAGGGGCAGAAAGGCATCCAAGAGCAACTGATCTCAGCAGCACAACTTACAAGAGCAGCCTCTACCTGAGGGATACACTGCAGGCCTAAGAGGCCGTGGTGAAAGCCAGACCAGCCTGAGGGCCCAAAGAAAGGCAAGTCTGGATAGAGCACAGAGAGTGTGCTCTTGGACTGGTCAGGCCCAAGGCAGACAGGCAGGCAGGCAGGTGGATGTCACCCTGGGCAGCTCCCAGGACCCAGCACTTTGTCCATGGGCAGTGTGAGCCATGATGTGGGTTTCGGGCAGAAGGGCCTCAGGAGAGGGGCCTGCCAGCATGGCCTCCCTGCCTTGAGGAGAACAGCCTGAGTGGGCAAGGATGGGGCCCAGCTGGCCTGAGGAGGCTACAGGAGTCATCCCAGGAAGAGAGCAGTGTGGAGTGTGGTGGGAGACCTTGGGCAAGGTCCCTGGACTTGGGCCAGAAGGGAGTAGTATTGGGAGGGTGGGGTGCGTGGTACAGCTGAGCTCCCTGGAGAGGACAGGAGGAGGCGAAATCGGGAATGTGGAGGGAGACTGGCCGAGGAGTTTGCAGCAGGAGGGAAGCAGTGAGGGGATGGCTGGGAAGAGCCAGTGGCCCACAGAGCCCTAACCCATGCAGGGACCAAGGAGGCTGGAGGGTGAAGAAAGCGGTAAAACTCCCCCCCCCACCACCTTCACACTCACAGACCAGCAAACTTGCCTTGGGTACTTCCCCATGTGGGATGAACAGGGTATTGGCCTTATCTCAGAGCCATATGCAGAGGGAGAAGGAATCAGGTCCCAGGAGGGACAGATTTAGCAAAACTCCTAGGCTGTGGCTGACCTCAATGTCCAGGCTTTCTCTGTGGAGGGCCCCGTCCAGCCGAGCCAAGCACCCTGGACCAGAAGAAAGAACCAGGGTCCCAGCCACCTCAGTCCAAGACTGAGTACAGACTTTGCTGGAAACAAAAGGGCTGATGGGGAGTAGGGAGGGAGCTGCCAGAACAGGGCTGGTGCCCCCATGGCGTTCTGAGCTGCAGGGTCTGGTGCCCCCACCTGAGTCTCAGGGGGGCCCAATGTCCATCCCAGCGGGCCTTTTGAGAAATGGCTGGGCCATTGTGCAGAAGAATGCCCGGAAATCCCGAGCCTCCCGCCTCTAGCGAGGATGGGGGCTCTTCCTCCTGGCCAGGAAACTCCAAGTTGCCTTCCGGAGGGTGGCCTGGGGCCTGGGGTGCCAGGGCACCTCCACCGGTGGGAGGGCAGAGCACAGCACCTCTGTGTCCCTTTGTGTTTCTCCTCTCTGAGGGCTCGGGTAGGCCCCCAAGCCTGGGGCCACGGGCTGCTCCTAGGAGGACAGCCTGCTTGTAGAGTGACTGGAGAACACTGGGGACTTCCCAAAGTGGTGTCGCCTGAGCTGGGCCTCAAAGGATGGGGGATGGGAAGCATCTCAGGAAGAGGAGCGACCAGTGCAGAGGTTGAGAGGTCTGGGAAATCCCGGCGGCAGGGGCAGAGTGAGGGTCTCCGGAGGTGGTGGTTAAGATCCCTGTTCCACCTGCTTCCTGCTGGGGCCTCAGGCCCCAGCTAGGCGGCGACCCGCTGGGCACTGGCGCTGGTCAGGACCTGGGGCTGGAGGTTCCAGCCTGACCCAAACAGCCGGCCCCTTGGTCTCTGGGAGACACAATGCCAGGACTGAGGGGGAAACCGCGCAGTGGTGAAAGGGTCAGGGATGGGATTGGACCCCAGGGCGAGATTCCTGTAGTAATAGGCCGAGCTGTGCTTGGCTAACCCAGGAAAAGGGACCCAAGAGTCCCTCACGCAAACCTCTGCGCGACGGTGATGGTGGGGCCTCCCGCAGACCTTGGCCAGGCAAGAGCGGAGCTGGCCTGGGCGTAGAGACCTTCACTCACTCCGGGAGGTAGCGGGGGAAGCTGGTACAGTCATGAGGCTCCTGAAATGGAGAGGCTGGGACACAGGAAGGTGGCCCGGGGAGCGCGCGCTTAGCAACCCCAAGTCAGTCCGGAACGAGATCTGGACAACAGCGGGTGAAGGGATCGCTGGCTGCGGCGGGGCAGGGAGCTGTCGGCGCCCTCCGCTACCCCCCAAGGGCAATGGTTTTCCTAACTCCAGCTGCCGGAGGCGCCTGTGATTGGTTAAGGGCCGACGGCCGGCGCGCGGATTGGCTGCTCGGGGACCAGGGGCCGGGCCGCGAGGCAGAGTCCGCCCCCGAACCTTCATATGGGAAGCCCCCCACAAGCACCCGCAGATCCGAGGCTGTGCGGCAGACTCTCCCGGACCGCGGATAGGAGGCGGTGAGCCGAGCGCCCCGGCGCAGAGGCACCAGAGCCAGTTCAGGGCGCCTAGCCGCTCCACCGAGGCACCGTCGCGCCCTGCCCGGAGGCCCGGGGGCCGTCGGGCGCCCGTCTCGCCTCCAACCATGGGGTCGGCGGCGCTGGAGATCCTCGGCCTGGTGCTGTGCCTGGTGGGATGGGTGGGCCTGATCCTGGCGTGCGGGCTCCCCATGTGGCAGGTGACTGCTTTCCTGGACCACAACATCGTGACGGCGCAGACCACCTGGAAGGGGCTGTGGATGTCGTGCGTGGTGCAGAGCACCGGGCACATGCAGTGCAAGGTATACGACTCGGTGCTGGCACTGAACACCGAGGTGCAGGCGGCGCGGGCACTCACCGTGGGCGCGGTGCTGCTGGCGCTCGTCGCGCTCTTCGTGACCCTGGCGGGCGCGCAGTGCACCACCTGCGTGGCCCCAGGGCCGGCCAAGGCGCGGGTGGCCCTCACGGGCGGCGCGCTCTACGCGCTCTGCGGGCTGCTGGCGCTCGTGCCGCTCTGCTGGTTCGCCAACATCGTGGTCCGCGAGTTCTACGACCCGACGGTGCCCATGTCGCAGAAGTACGAGCTGGGCGCAGCGCTGTACATCGGCTGGGCGGCTTCCGCGCTGCTCATGTGTGGCGGCGGCCTCGTGTGCTGCGGTGCATGGGTCTGCGTCGGCCGCCCCGACTTCAGCTTCCCGGTCAAGTACTCCGCGTCGCGGCGGCCCACGGCCACCGGCGACTATGACAAGAAGAACTACGTCTGAGGGCGCCGGACTCGGCGGGGCCCCTCGCACGAGCCGGACAACTGGCTAGGGAAGCCCCGCATGGACGGCATCCGAGGCGAGGCCGCCCCCGCGCGGTCTCCGCGGAACCGCCCGCTCTGCGCCTGGACGTGGCACACCGACCGCCAGAGACCCAGCTCCCGCCCGCAGCCCGTTCTCTCCAATAGCAACTAGCCGGGTCCTGGGCCGCGCCCTGCTCTGAACAGGAGCCACACACTTGAGAGGACTTGTTCGGTTTCTTTTTCTGTGCGCAGAGCTTACTCCGATGTGGGTGGGGCGCGGGTCCCTTTGGCAGAGTGGACAATGGACTGAAATGCCAGTTCCCTCCCAGACCCTCAGGGTCTTGGATGCCGTCATCCTTACCAGCAGCTCCTGCGGATTCCAGGAGGGCAGACAGAGAGCGCAGGGACCCCAGCCTGGGCTGCGGGAGGGATGTATACAACTGGCCTCTCCCCCAACAGCAGGGGCCTGAACCCAGGGGGACTAAAAGACTTGGCCTGGACCTCCCTGCCTCACCCCGGCAGCTCCCCAGGAGATGCTTATGGGCACCAGATCCTGAGTGTGGAGCTGGGGCCCTGCCCTCCTTTGTAGCTTGTGGGGAGGGTAAGAATTTGCTTAGTAAATGGTTTGAATACCCTCCCACCTGTGTCCTGTTCTCTTTCCAGTCACTACTCATGCCCAGCAGCCCCCTTCATCCACCCGCCCACCAACTGCTCCCTAAAAAGCCTTTTCTGAGACCTCCCAGCACTGCCCCTGTGTTCCAGAGGATCCGTGGCCTGACCCATCCCTCCCTGCCACCTAGGCACCTTTCTACTGGGTGGGAAGCACAGCTACAGTCTTCGGCAACCCAGGAAGGGGAGATCTGTAGTCAGAAGAGCCTGGGGAGAGGACGATGCAGACCCCGGGAGAGGATGCAGGTTGGAAATCCACCCCCCACCCCCCCAGCCAGTGTGGGGTCTTTGGATGCAGGAAGAGTCGAGGGTGGGCTGCCAGGCTGCTGGTTTTAAGAGGCTGGCTCCATGCCCCACAGGTTGGGTGTTTTCCCACTGCCCTCTCAGGGCTTGCCAATCTGTGGATCGCACCAAATGGCCAGACAGCTGTAAAGCACTGACTGGGCCCTTCCGGCCAACAGTGCAGCGGGAACAGGGGCGAATCCAGGATGTGTTAGGCTCCACCGGAGCTAGCGGCAAGACCGCAAGCACGTTGCTATGGGAAGGAGGCACTTGTGCAGGTTGCTTAGAGTGCCCGGGCAGGGTTCCAGCCCCTTGGTCCTGGCTCTTCTGCCAGTCTCAGCACAGCTCTGCGCGGGGCCTGTGCTCATCCTGCTGGCCTGGCGGCCAGCCCAGACTTGTGCTAACCATTAGCACCACTTCTGTGCCAGCCCCTGCTGGAAGTGCCCTGCGTAACCTTTCTCTTGTGAGTGGCGCCCCCAGGGAGCCGGTGCTGGCCTGGGCCTGTAGGGAGGAGCTCCAAGCCCAGCCAGCAGGGCTTGGCATCTGCCCCCAAACCTGGCCTTGGGGGCTCTGTCCAGAAATGCTTGGGCCAAATCCAGTGGCAAGGAGTCACCTAGGGCTGGCCAGGCTCCCCACTGTGAGGAAGGGGAAGAGCCCGAACACTGCCCTGAATCCCCGAAGTTGCAGCAGAGCCAGGGAGCTGGACTTCAAGGGAGGCCGAACTATCTGGTAGCCTGAGCTCCTTGCAGTGGGATGAGCTGCAGCAGGATGGGTCTCAATGCCCAGAGGCCCTCAGCCACCCCCCATGGCAGCCTCCCCTTGGGCCTGTGCAAGGCCCACAAACGGTCCTCAAGTGCAAAAGTGTGTGATCCTGGGGCCTTGGTGGGGCTGCTGGAACAAAGGTCCTGGGGCCAGCCAGGCTAGTGTTTGGACAGGAGCACAGACCGAAGGCTGCATCCCACACAAGCCCAGAGATCTCCAATTCCTTCAGGCCCCAGGAATCAGCAGGATTCCAAAGGGAAGCTGTACAGTCCCAATGATGCAAATGCTCAAGGTAGACAGCTTAAGGGCCGGAGGAGTCCAGCTGATGCTGCCTGACTCATGTCAGGAAGGCCAGGAGCACATTCCATTTGCCAGAGATCAGGCAAGAGGAGCTGGTCTCCAGCATAGCCAATCCCTCTGTGCCCACTACCCCTTCCCAAGAGCCACCCTGTGACCTGTCTCCACCAATCTGTCGCCTCAGTTCCAGGCCACTATTTCTGGGATTTTTACCAGCTTAAAGCCTACCCAAACCACTCTGCCTCCTCCTGCCTAAGGCCCCAGGTGCCACACCCGGGTGGCCATGTTGCTCCAGCCTGCCTGTTTCGCCAGCACCCTTCTCCCAGGCAGAGTAGCCAGATGGCCTCTGCCACTTATGTGAACAGCTCCCTCCTCCCCAAAGGGCAGGAATGGCATTGTCTTTGCCTCCAGACCCCCTCAACTTTCACAGGGGCTCTGGGGATGTGTCAGAGAGTGGATCCAGCTGATGGCACAGCTCTCCTGAGAACTCTTGCTATTCTGAAGACTCTGGAAGTTGCCGTGGTTCTGTCCAGTTTGAACTTTCTATGATCAGGATGTGGTGAAGCTATCTCTGTCCGGGGCCCCTCAGCCAGGAAGGGTGGGGACCTTGTACTTGTTATCTGCCCAACTGTCCCATTAGCCTGGGGGGGACCATGTACCTGTGGGGATGGCGGGGGTGGGGTACTGGGACAGGAGATGCGGAAGGGTGAGATGATGGCCGTGAAGTAGGGCCTGGGAGGCAGGCACAGTCAGGAGGGTGGGCCTGAGCCGCTGCCAGGGCCAGGAGGACAGGAAGAGGTGGTGCGAGGGCAGAGCCGGGCCCCGGCTGGCATGGCTGGGCAGTGGTTGGTCCAGGAACCATGTGGAGCTCCAGTGCTGAGCTGCCCGGCCTCCATTTGCTGCTCTCCAGGGATCCTGGAGGCCATCCCCCATGCTGATTTACTGCTGGGCCTCGAGGTCTCCCAGGCACAGGAAAAGGCTCCTCTGTACCCGAAGAAAGCTCAGGACAAAAACAAGTGCTGGCCCTATGACCATAGCCCAGACTGAGGCACCAAAACTAAAATGAACATTTTATTCCATTAAAAACCAGCTGTCCCTGCATCTAAAACTATGTCCATAACTTAGAGTCTAAATAAAATCCAGTTAATATAAATAAGGAGGAGGTCGTGTCTGCAGAGATCAAACTCTAGAGAAGAAAAAAAGGAAAAAATAAGTATATTTTCAACAATTCTGATGGCCCTATGAATTAAACAAATGGCCCAGGCCTTCCCTCTGTCCTGATGGGCTTGCTTCTGGGTAGCCTCCACCACTCACAGGGGAGAGAGGTGGTGACCCTGGGAGGAGAGCCACCCTAGAGCCACAGAAGTGCCCACCGGCCTCACTTCACCCCTCCAGCTGGGTCCAGGCTGTCACATGCTTGAGAACCCTCAGGGCCTCATGGCCCTTCACCACCCTATCACCCTTGCAGACCCTGCCTCAGTCCAGGGGGCCCTCACAAGCCTTCTCCCCCTGCCTGGCTGGCCCACCCTGCACCCAGTCTTGGTGACAGGACACACAGCAGTGCTGGTGTCATCACTAAGCAGCCTACAGGGAAGGGCGAGGCCACAGACACCAGCGGCCTCCTTGAGAGCCCCTGCCAGTAACCTTTGATGTGGGTCATAAACTTACACCCTGCCCCCATCCTAAGGCTTGGCTCTCACTGTCCATGGGGTGTTGGCCCCCTTTCAGTTGAGGAAACAGCCAGAGCCCAGTTAGGTACCCAGCACGCCTTGCTAAAGACCCAATGGGTCTGAGCCCAAAGCCCCACCCCAAGCCCTATACACCCTTGCAGACCCTGAAAGAGGGACTGTGGGTCCCTGAGGTCCCCTCTACCGTCCTCAGCAGAGCCCACTAAGGCCCCAGCAGAGGAAGAGTATCTGCCCCCCACAGCTTCCAGCTCACAGGGGATGGTGGGGGAGCGGGAGGGGACCCTCTACATCAGGGCCTTGACAGGCCTGTCTGCCTCAGCGGTGAGTCCAGCCCGGGGCCCAGGGAGAGGCAGGGCTGGGCGTGGGCATCCGCAGTGTGGGGGGCCCTGGGCTGAGAAGTGGGCCTAGCTGCCTGGCCCGTTTGCTAAGAGGTCCTTCAAGAAAGAGCTGGCATGTGTGGCACTGGGAAGAGCCCTGGCTTGGCAGCATCGTCATGGACTGCCTAGTGACAGCCTCACGCTCATGCAAGGCCCACAGAGACAACATTTCCTAGTTATCAGCCGTGTGGCTGCCAACAGCTTTGTTTTCACCTAAGTCAAGCACGCAAGAGCCTGGGTAGAAGCCTCTGTGGGCCCTAGCCCAGGGCCTGATCTAAGGCTGCAAAGGGCACCAAGCTCCAGGAGGCTCCCCACCCCTAAGGGTCGCCTTCTCCCCAAGCAGTGCCAGGAGGCCTGCATGTCCCTCACTGATGCCCAGCCCATGGTGCGGTCAGGAGAGGGTAAATGCCAACTCTTGCTGAAGGGGTCCCAGGAGCTTAATGAAATTAGCTCCCTCAGTAATATCCCACTGTGACACTGCCACCAGCCCAGGGACAGACACCCTTGGGAAAAAGGCATTGCCCCCATATCTCCTCAGGAACCCTGCTTGGGTCTGAAACACAAGAATAAGCCTTGGCTTGAGAAGGGAAAAAGGAGGGAATGGGGGGCTCTCTTTACACTTCAACAGGGCTGGCTGTGCAGCAGGACTCCCCTCCACCAGAACCCTCCAGCATCCCACCCCTCCCCCACATCTCACCCTCAGGACAGGAGGGAAACAAGCGCATCCAGAAACTTGCTCCGATCCTCGGCTTTCAGTTCAATTACTGAAGTAATGAAAGAAAAACAGCTCGTGAGGGGGAGGAGTAGGGCAGAGAGTGAGGCGCCGTAGGAAAAACAAGGCAGGTTATATTAACTCCCTCTTTCTGGTTATCCAAGATGGGAACCACCCTCTGGCGCATTCCAAAATGTACTCAGCCCCTTAGTGGCCTGGAATATTCTGAGCTCAGAGGTTGTATTTCTCTGTCCTCTGTATTTAGTCCTCAGAAATGGCTGGTTGCCCTGTTGGTGAGGCTGGCTGGGTTTACAGTCTGTGGGGAGGGCCCTCCAGGCTGCTAGGGGACCAGCAGTGACAGCCAATGGAGACACAGGGATGTGATAGTTTAGAACAGGTCCGGGCAGAGAAAGGCCTTCCCACCCTGCTGGACACAGTTCCCTGCCCCACTGTGGGTTGTAGGAGGCCCTGAGGTCCGGCAGGAGGCTAGTCTGCAGCTTTGCTCTGGTCAGTCTCTCTGCTTCAGTATCCTCTTCTGTAGAAGGGAAACACGACACGAACTGCCCCCATTTCCGGGGGCCCTCATCGAACAGCGCAAAACCAGGCCAGCCTGGTCCTATGAGCCACTTGTGTCACAGGCCATGGCTCCAGCAAACCCAGGCCCAGCCCACCCAGGAGGGTGCTTGCCTGCCCTCTGCTATGCAGTCCCCTCTCCCCCAGCTCTCCTCCCCCACGGGAAGCCAAGCGACTGCCAGCCCACAAATTCTCCCTGTGAGAAGCTGGGAAATCCTGCAGGCCAGCCAGCACCAGCTTCTCCCACATCTCGGGCATGAAGTAGGAATGGAGGTGTTGC